CCCCTAAACCCTAGAACTGGGAGCCCAATCCTCTTTCCAGCAACGAAATGAAGCTCTGGGCCCATTTCTTACGACTATTTGCTGCAGACACCCCGCAAACCCTAAACCCGAAACGCTAAACCCTAAGCCCGAAGCCCCAAGCCCTAATAGTCTTCCTTCTTCTAAGGGCCATAATTTGGGGATTATTGTCTTTCCCATTTACTGGGTTCTTAAGCAAATAGCAGCCTAGTTCAGGGTTTTTCGGGACCAAGGCTGAAGGCTCTGCACTTGCAGGTTCATGTGGGGATTTAGGGTTTAGAGTTTAGGGTTCAGGGTTTACGGTTTAGGGTTTAGGGTTTAGGGTCACAAGCAAGCTGTACGTCCTAAGCCCTTCACCCTACCAAGATCTGCGCAGGTTCTTAGTAAGGAATGAGGGAATGGGGTACCCTATAGAATCCCGTCAAGGGTATATCCAGGGCCCTCATTCCCTCACTTCCTACTACCCTAAACCCTAAACCCTGCCCCCTGAATCCTAAACCCTAAACCCTAAACCCTTAACCCTAAACCCTAAACCCTAAACCCTAAACTCAACCCTAAGCCCCAAACGTTAAGGGTCGGCAGAAGCTGCTCTAGAGTTGAAAAGCGAGCTTCGCAGCCAGTCGATGTAGGCTTGGGGTGCTCCAATCTTTCAGAACTCCAAACGAATCCCAATGGTTTTAGGGTTCAGGGTTCAGGAGTTTAGGGTTTAGGGGATTTCGGGGTTTAGGGTTTGGGGGTTTAGGGGTTTAGGGGTTTAGGGGTTTAGGGGTTTAGGGGTTTAGGGGTTTAGGGGTTTAGGGGTGTAGGGGTTTAGGGGTTTAGGGGTTTAGGGGTTTAGGGGGTTAGGGGTTTAGGGGTTTAGGGTTGGGGTAGGGGTTTAGGGGTTTAGCGGTTTAGCGGCTTGGGGGTTGGGGGTTTGGGGTTGGGGGTTTAGGGGTTTAGCGGTTTAGCGGCTTGGGGGTTTGGGGGTTTGGGGGTTTTTAGGGGTTTAGGGGTTTAGGGGCTGGGGGTTTAGGGTTTAGGGGTTTAGGGGTTTGGGGGTTTAGCGTTTAGGGTTTAGGGGTTTAGGGGTTTAGGGGTTTAGGGGTTTAGGGGTTTAGGGGTTTAGGGGTTTAGGGGTTGGGGGTTTACGGGTTTAGGGGTTTAGGGGTTTAGGGGTTTAGGGGTTTAGGGGTTTAGCGGCTTGGGGGGCCTTGAGAGGCGACCGCTTCAGCGTGGTCCTGTGGGGAACGAACCAGATGTGGATCTTTGGCGGGGGCATCTCTGGCAGTGGGGACCTTGGACGAGGGTTTAGGGTTTAGGGTTTAGGGTTTAGGGGTTAGGGTTTAGGGTTTAGGGTTTAGGGTTTAGGGTTTAGGGTTTAGGGGTACCCCCCTCTAGACCACCCCCTCCCCCTAGGTTCCCCCAAAATTCAGGCTTTTTGGGGATTATCAAGCCGAATTCAGGTGATTTAAGGGGGGAACCTATGCGCTGGCGGGGGGGGGGGGGGGGGGAAGTATAGAGGGCGGTAGTGGGAAACCCGTGAATTCCTGATTGTTGGTAGCATCAAGAATGATACTATGACTGCTGCTACTGTTCCTATATCTCCTCATGACTACTGCTGCTTGCCTCCCAAGCATATTATATAAAATACCACTACTATGAGTCTTGCCTGTGCTCCGCTTTGAGGCGCAAGGTTCCCTACTAAAAACTGCGCCCTTGCTATGCCTAGGTTACTGGAGAACCTAGAACCCTAAACCCTCGGCCTTCAGCCCTCCAGCCTAAACCCTGTTTGGGTTTTTGGGTTTAGGGTTTAAGGCTTAGAAGCTTTTGGGGTGGTTTCCTCGTGAAGAGATGTCTACACTAAGCCCGGATAGGGAACTCTCGCGATAGTCTGGGCTTGGGCGCTCACTCGCGGTTTTGGGTTTAGGGTTTAGTCTTCAGGGTTTAGGGTTTAGGGGAGCTCTGCGGGGAGTGGACCGGGAGAGGAGAAGAGTTTAGTTCCAAATCTAAGAACCCCAAACCGAGGGTGGGGGGAAAAAAGAAAGAGCTTCAACCCCGGCCCCCCCCCCTCCCCCGGCCAAAAAAGCAAGCATAGTGAACGTAGCAAAAGAGTGGCTTGGTAGCCCAGTGGTACCCTGTACCCTTTTGTTTGGCTTACGGGTTCCCTTATGAAAGAACCAGCCCAAAAAAGGGTGCCCTTATTATCATATGGTTGCTGGGCTACCAAGAAGAACAACAACGATAACGAGAACAAGTACCAAAATATTGCAATGACCATAGCCCGATACCTGGAACCCTTGAGGCATCAGCAACGAGCTTTGGTACATCGACCTTTCAGCAGGGACCTTGGCGATGCGCTTGCTTTGGGGGGGTTTGGTTTTGAGATGTGAGACAGGTTTGGGCGCTTTAGGGCTTCGGGTTTTGTTTTAGGCTTTAGGGCTTAGGGTTTAGGGTTTAGAGTTTAGGGTTTAGGGTTGAGGGTTTAGGGTTTAGGGTCTGAAACCCTAACCTTCAAGGGTTTGGGCTGGAAGGCGTGTAGTTGTTTCGAGAGGCTCTGGAGACTCTTCCTGGCGTTTTTTGGTTTAGGGGCTTGGGGTTCAGGGCCCTTAGGATTGGGGTTTCGGGGTTTAGGGTTTCAGGGTTTCAGGGTTTGAGGGTTTGAGGGTTTGAGGGTTTAGGGTTTAGGGTGCCCGCCAAAGCCCTTCAGCCCTACACCCAGCAAGACTGAATGCTGCTGGCATTTCAAGGGTTGAGGGTTTAGGTTTAAGGCTTCAGCTCCAGTCTTAATGCCCTACACCCCCGAGGCCAAAGGAGGGTTTCAGGGCTCCGGGCTGAATCCTAGAACCCTTTTAGAGGTTTAGGGTTCAGTGGTTCGGGTTTGGGGTTTAGGGTTTTGGGTCTAGGGTTTTGGGGGGGTTCGGGGTTTAGAGTTTAGGGTTAGGGTTTAGGGTTTAGGGTTTAGGGTTTAGGGTTTAGGGCTTAGGGTTTAGGGTTTGGGGTTTGGGGTTTAGGGTTCTGTGAAGCCAGCCAGGTCACTGGGACCTTGACCTGGAATCAGAAATCCACCACAGGCCCAAGGGCGGCGTTTTCGGGTGGCTCTACTTGGAGGATCATGGTACTTGTTAACCACATATAAGTGTACATATAACTCCCTAGATAGTCCCGTCAAGTGCCCTAATATGGTTAGAAGTACAGTTACTGTACAGTTACACAATTGGTTAATAAGTACCATGAACCTCCAAGTAAGGTTGTTTGGGTTGATCCCAAAGACTCCCATACCCCTGAATTCAGGAATAGCCCTTAAACCATATAAGGAACCCTCTTATACTTTTAAGGAATATGCCTTCATTAAGGGGCATTGGAGTTGCCGGGTACGATTCAGAGTTTAGGGCTCTACTGCCCAAAACCCGCGAGCCAGGGGGGCTTTCTTGGGTTTCTTGATTTGAAAGGCTCTGCGGAGGTCAAGAAATCCCAAAAAAATCTAGCACGCGGGAGTGGCATGTGGGGGGTGGCTACGCAAGTCACACCGGTCACCAAAGCCGTAGGGGTGGTCCCCGGCCATCGTAGTTTCGCCACGCGCCAGCGCAGATGCTCTAACCATCTCACGGTTTCGGGTGTAGGATTCAGGGCTGAGGGTGTCTTAGTAGCTGAGTGAGCACACTTTACACTTACGCTTTCTTGGGGCTTATGATCTCAGCAACTAAGGTGTAGGGTTTCGGGTTCAAAGTGCAGGCATCAGGGTTTTAGGTTGCAGTGCTCAGGGTTTGGGGGTTCAGGGGCGCCAACTTCCGAACTGAAGCCTTAAAGCCCTTTGGCCATAGGGGCATTTCCCAAAATAGGGGTACTGATTTATACCCCGAATAGAATAGAATCCCCTTTAAAGGATCTGAAAAAGGGTATCCCTATTTTCGGAAAACTTCGTATACTGATGGTGGCCATCTTCGCTGTCGTCACTATACTTGGAGGTTCATGGGTACTTATAACCCCACTTATAAGTCTACTGTAAACCTACTTAGGGGACTTAAGGGGTTTATAAGTACAGTTATAGTTGGGGCTATAAGTGCCCATGAACCGTTAGGGTGTTCATACTTTCCTTGCACGCCTCCATCCACTTTTGTTCAGGTGCCACGGTTTGTTTTCCATAGAGGCGGCTTTAGGGTTTAGGGTTAAACCTCAAACCCTAAACCCTAAACCAGTTAAGGGGTGCGCGGGGCTGTTGGAGGAGGGCGATCCCTGCAGCTTTTTTTTCCCAGTGATCATTCTCGTCAGTTCTCCAAGAATCCGTCACTTCACAACGGTTTAGGGTTTAGGGTTTAGGGTTCAGGGTTCAGGGTTCAGGGTTTCGGGTTTAGGCACACTTGCAGAGCCCCTCCCCTTACCATACGGGGGCTTCCGAATTTAGGGGTACCTACTTCGGGTCCCTTACTATTTTGGGGGGACAATATTAGGGGTTCCCCATTTTCGTAAACCCCCATACGCAGATGCACTCAGATGTCAGCAGCGATGGAGAGTCCTACGATTCGCAAGGCTGCTCGCGCAAGCGACTCTACACTTTAGGCGGCGTTGAGGGTTTAGGGTTTGGAGCTTAGGGTTTAAGCCTTAACCCTAAACCCCAAACCCTAAACCCTAAACCTTCGGGGCTTTCAGGGTCCTAACCCTAAGGTGGTACGCTTTGGGGCCTCTGTGGGCTCACATCAGGGAGGGAGGGGGGGAGGGGGGGAGGGGGGGGTAACCTTCTAAGGGTTGAGTAATGTTTGCTTTAGGAAACCCCAAAAGATGAAGAATGATAATCCCCATATTACCCTTGTAAGGAAGAACATGCTTATGTCTCTGGGGAGTTCTGAAGCAATTGGTAGTTTAGGCCTGTACTTGGAGGTTCATGAGCACTCATAACCCCCAATTTTAACTGCATTTACAAACCCCCTAAGTCCCCTAAGTAGGTTACATAAGTAGACTTCTAAGTGGGGTCATAAGAACCCACGCCACGAACCTCCAAGTAGGTGGTGTGCAGACGGTGCCGGGCCGAGCCTTTCGGCACGTGGATTCCTACAACTCCGTCCAACTCGCCTCCAGCGCCTTGTGCTGCGTGCTCAGAGGCACCGTGCTGACAAACCGGGCTCCTCAAATGGCAGTTATTGTTTGCATCTTTTAAGGGGTAGAAGGAGGGAAGGGACCCTTACTCCTATGCCCTTTTAAGCCCCATATATTGCCCCTATATGCCTAAGTAGCCCCTAAATAGCCCCAAAGAACCCTTAAGGTCCCTTACAAGGGTCCCTCCTTTACTTCCTTAAACCTTTTTCTTGGTACCTTTTGTCCGTTTTTGGTTCAACCCTAGAGAGTAACCAACACCGCAAACGGGGTACCCTCATTGGAATGTTGCTCTTGGGCTACCAAGAAGTTGTAGTAAGAAAAGCTGCAAAGGAACTTGGTGAAGCCCCTGGGGGGGGGGGGGGGGTTCTTGGGGTGGGTGCAGCTGAGGTTCTGTGGGCCGAGCAGCTGTTGCTGTTTCTCCTCTACGTGTGCAGCTGGCGGGTTGCCGTGGGCTTCATGCGAGAGGCCATATCTCACGGCGATGACAGTGTGGAAGTCCGCATCACGCGCCATTACACCGAGGCTTTCCGGGGTTTAGGGTTTGCGGTGCAGAGTCTAGAGTTTACGAATAGGGTTGCTAGACCCGCAACCTTGCCTTGCCAGCTCTGTACCTCCTTTTCCAAGATCACATTTTAAGGGATTGTTTCGGGCACCAGGGTATCTAGCTGCCGAATTCCTGGAAGGGTCTGGGTGAGTTTCAACATCCCCCAACCCTAAACCCTCAACCGTAAACCCTAAACCCTGAGTTCCTCCGCAACCCTAAACCCTCAACGCTGAACCCTGAATTCCCTTCTACGGTTCCAGCATCCCTCACGCCTAAAACCGAAGCATCGGAATCCTGGAGAAGACCTTGCGTTTTCTCGCCAAGTCTGCAAGCCGACGTCTGCCACGACCAGGAAAGGTCCCTAAAGCCCTGCGTTTGAGGTTTAGGGTTCCTGCACGCCTCGGCGCAAAGCCCCAAACCCCCAAACTCCCAGACACCAAGCCCTCACCGCCAAACCCCTAAACACACAAGCCCCTAAACCTCGAAACCCCTAAAACCCCTAAACCCCTAAACCCCTAAACCCCTAAACCTTAAACCCCTAAACCCCTAAACCCCTAAACTCAACGGAAGCATCTGTGAGGTGAACACAAGGACCCCCATTTTGGAATGCCCAGGGGCGGTGCGGTCCATGTAGTCGCAAAGCCAAAAACCCTAAAACTGTTTGGGTTTAATTAGGTTTTGGGGTTTAGGGTTTAGGTTTTGGGGTTTAGGGTTTAGGTTTTGGGGTTTAGGGTGTAGGTTTTGGGGTTTTATCTGGCCCCGAAGCCCTGAAACCCGAAAGCCACTAAAAACGTGTCGCCCGCTCCCCCTGGGCCTAAACCCCTAAGCCCCTAAACCCCCTAAATCCCCTAAGCCCCTAAACCCCTAACCCCTAAACCCCTAAACCCCTAAACCCCCTAAACCCCCTAAACCCCCTAAACCCCTAAACCCCTGACCCCTAAACCCTAACCCCAAACCCTAATTGGCACCGGCAGATAATGACCTCCCTGGCTGGCTTTCTCCTGGCTTTTTACACCTCCATCGCGGCTGGGACAATTAAGTTGGCGTTGAGGGGCGTGGAGTTTAGGGTTTAGGCTTTAGGGCTCAGGGTTTAGGGTTGGCTCAGGGTTTAGGGTCTAGCATTTAGGGGTTTTAGGGTTCAGGGTTTAGGGTTTGGGGTTTCCAGTGTGGGGCCTTAGTCCTTTTCAAGGACTAGGCTCCATGATACCCTTGACATTCAGCCCTAAACCCTAAACCCTAAACCCTAAACCCTAAACCCTAAACCCTAAACCCTAAACCCTAAACCCTAAACCCTAAACCCTAAACCCTATTCGATTCTTCTGGACCTGAGGCAGTGAGCCGCTGGTGGCGCCTCCGCACGGAGGGCATTGGCCGCATTTGGGGCGCAAGCAGTCAGCTCCTTGGATCTAGGTGGGTTCAGGGTTTAGGGTTTAGGGTCTAGGGTTTTGGGTTTGGGGTTTGGGGTTTAGGGTTTAGGGTTTGGGGTTTAGGGTTTAGGGTAGGGCTTAGGGTTTAAACTGCATGGTCCCTCAGACATGGGTTTAGGGTTTACTTGAAGGTTCATGGGGCCTGCTAACCAATTATAACTGTACTTATAACCCTACTTATAGCAGCCCTAAAGGGCCTTCTAGGGGTTTTCCCAATTATAAGTAGGGTTTTAAGTACAGTTACAATTGGTTAGTAAGTCCCATGAACCTTCAAGTAGGGTTGGGATGTTCCCCCGCCCTAAACCCTAAACCCTAAACCCTAACCCTAAACCCTAAACCCTAAGCCCTAAACCCTAAACCCTAAATGGGGCCACCTTGCCACAGAGGCTCATGATGCTGCTCGCGGCCCTGCTGGAAGAAGGGGACCTGGAGTTGCTCCTGGCCATCCGAAGGTCCGCTCCTCTTAGGGTTTAGCGTTTAGGGTTTAGGGTTTAGGGTTAGGGTTTAGGGTTTAGGGTTTAGGGTGTAGGGCTTAGGGTTTAGGGTTTAGGGCTTAGGGTTTAGGGTTTAGGGTTTAGGGTTTAGGGCTGTCCGTGAAGGTACGCGCGCGCCTCCCTGGCGATCCACTTCTTGCGGCGGCGCTACCCCTCGGATTCTGGGCGCATGAAGGGATGAGGGGATTTAAAAGTGGGTTTAGGGTTTAGGGTTTAGGGTTTAGGACCCCTAGAAGGGACTCTTAATCTTATTCCCCGACCCCAAATAGTAGGATTCCCTTATAATAGGGACCCCCAATAAGGTACCCCTAATGTTTGAAACCCCCATATAGCCCCTGTGTAAAGGTGCCTTCTTTAGTCCCCTTTAGTCCCCTTTGAGTGTACAGTTTTGACGGGTTGTCGGATTCAGGGATTTAGGGATTTAGGGATTTAAGGATTTAGGGATTTGGGGTTGTATGGGTTAGGGAAAGGTACTTCAGTGGCTATGTTGCGAAAAAGAAGTCCTCGCGATGTGCCTCCACAATACGTCAAGCCTCATTATCGAAATCCAAAAATGGTACCCGCACCCTAAGCACTAAACCCTAACCCTAACCCCTACACCCTATTTTGGGAAAACCCCCAAAGTAACTTACCACAATAGAGGCACTATATTAGTTACTGCATCTGAAGGGCGCCCGCCCTGAACCCTAAACCCTAAACCCTAAACCCTAAACCCCAAACCCCAAACCCCAAACCCCAAACCCCAAACCCCAAACCCCAAACCCCAAACCCCAAACCCCAAACCCCAAACCCTAAACCCTAAACCCTAAACCCTAAACCCTGACTGGGCAGCCCAGGATTTCATGGAGAAGTTGGACGAGTTGGCGGAGCGAGAGATCCTCCTGGACAGCGAGGTAGAGAAGCTCCGTGAGGTAGGGTTTAGGGTTTAGGGTTTAGGGTTTAGGGTCTAGGGTTTAGGGTGCTCCGTGAGGTAGGCGTGAACCTGGCCGAAAGTGTGTGGACTTGGGTGACGCAGATTGTAGTGACTCTGGCCCGGACCAAGCAGATGTCAGAGTACATGCTCACGCACTTGCTGCAAGTGGTTACTGGGATGTTTTTAGGGTTTAGGGTTTAGGGTTTAGGGTTTCAGTGGTGGCTCGGACCGGGAGTAGGCCCTTGTTTCCCCTTTTTTTAGGGTTGGGGTTCCCTTACCACCCCCTTAAAACCAAAAGGCCACCCTTTTTATTCCTAGGTTACTCCTGAATCTAGGTGGAGAAGGGACGCTCCGGGGCAGCCTGCATTGGAGCACAAATGGGAACGCCCATTCCACTGCAATATGTGCACCCTGGTGGTCCAGTGGTACCATTTCCCCTTTGCTTGGTTCAAGGTTCCCTGATGAAGCAACGAAACCCAAAAAAGGGTACCCTTGTTGTAATATGCGCACTGGGCTAAACCCTAAACCCTAAACCCTAAACCCTAAACCCTAAACCCCAAACCGGCTACCAAGGCACTTAATGGGTCTTCTGGTGAAAGCGCACAACGTCATCCTGGCCTGTGCCTGCGGCTTCCAGCTGGCAGCCATGAGCCACAGGTATCTTTGTCATAGTTGGGTAACATTTAGGGTTTAGGGTTTGGGGTTTGGGGTTTAGGGTTTAGGGTTTAAGGGTACTTAAACCCAATAAGGAATAGAAATTTGCTTTTTTATATTCTCCCAATCATGAACTAGGTATGCCCCCGGCATCTCACTTAGAGTCTTCCTGACGCCGTTCCTCTACAACGGAATCCTGCTCATAAACGCAGAGTTGGCAGACCCTTTTGCGGGTGGAGTCAACGCATTTTCCCTGGAGAAGTACGAGAAGGGCATTGAGAATGATGGCCGGGGCTATGTTCGAGCCAGCATCTCTGTCCCCGACTGCCTGCCGGCTTGCCGTAGCCTGGGCATGCCCCAACCAAGACGACCGAGTTGAACTGGGTAGCAAAATGGCTACCCGATTTGTAGTATGGATACTGGGCTACCAAGTGAAGGTAAGATCACCCAGATCACAATTGTGATTCTTGATCTGATATCTTGCGGGGTTGTGAAGAGGTGGGCTCTTCGAGGAGGCTGCCTAAATGCCTGCTCCCCGAGAGGCGCCTATGCCGAGACGCAACCAACCCCCCAAAGCCTAAACCCCAAGCCCTAAGCCCCAAACCCTATCCTCAAGCCCTAAACCCTAATCCCCAAACCCTGTTCCCCACCCTTCTTGTGCTTTTCGACCGGAGAAAAAGAAGGTGCAAACCCCAGTTGCACAAGGCAGGTTTCCTGAAATAGGGCACCCCGCAAGGGGGTGTAGGGTGTATGGTGTAGGGCTTAGTAAGGATTAGATTATGCTGGGTATATGCGGGGGGTGGGGGGGGGGGGGGGTGAGGGGGGGGGGGTGAGGGGGGGTGAGGGGGGGGGTGAGGGGGGGGTGAGGGGGGGGGGGTGAGGGGGGGGGGGTGAGGGGGGGGGGGGGGGGGGGGGGGAGTTCTGCGACGAACAGATCATGGCATGCTTGTCGTTCCAAAGCGCACAAACCATGATATGCGGGTTTACGGAAATAAGGGACCCCAAATCTAGACCCCAAATAGTAGAATTCTCTTATAGTATGGACCCCAACAAGGTACCCCTATGTTCGAAAACTCTCATAAACTATGATAATCCCTGTATTACCCTTAATAAAGAAGAGTATGTTTTTTTGGGGGATTCTTAAGCAAGTAGTAGTATCAAGACAGAGCTGATAGTGGACTGGGTTTGTATTGCGAAAGAAGGCAAAGTGAGCTGCCTTGGAAAACCTCCGCCGCTGCAAAGCGAGAATTTGAAGACCATTCGCCAAGGAAACTAGACCCTAAACCCTAAACCCTTAACCCTTAACCCTAAACCCTAAACCTTTCGGTTCGCCCAAACTGTGCTGTCCATGGCTCCGCTCTGCAAACACAGCAAACACACGTGCCAGCGGGTCTTTTCTAGCAGCCTACGGCAAAGGAGTTGGTGAAAGGTCGGGCAGGAATTGCAAACGCGGCGAACACACACATGAGCCCAAGTCACAAGCACTTGAGTCTCAGGGAGAGCAAGTGCCCCTGGGAGGGATGGGAGTTTACAACCTGCCCCTGATCAAGCACCCACAGTTTAGGGCTTAGGGCTGGAGATGTTCCCCCTTAACAACAAACAGTCCTTAGTAGGGATGATAGTACCCCCTATGCTAGTCCCTATTCAGGACTGCTAGTATAAGGGGAAATATCCCAACCCTAAACCCTAAACCCTAAACCTTCAGATCCTAAACCCTAAACCCTAAACCCCAAACCCTAAACCCTAATCCCTAAACCCTAAGCTCGCACCCCGAAAGCTTCTCGACAGGCTACAGCAGCGTCCGACGCGATCACGTGGCGGTGCTCACGTCGAGCCAAGTGGCTTGGGCCGCTTTGGGAATTACTTAGCGTAGCAGAATCCCCTCCCCCCTCATACTGAGCCCCCCCCCCCCGCCCCCTACCCCGGGTGTAGGTAGGGTTTAGGGTTTGGGGCTTGGGGCCGGGCCCCCCCCCTACCCCCAAAAATTGAATACCCCTGTAACAATAGTTATATTGGAGTATTGAGGGGGGTGGGGGGGGGGTGTTTAATATTGGGGTTCTGGGGGGGGGGGGGGGGGTTAATGTTAGGGGGAGATGTCTTTAGCCTTACTTGCAGAAGCCTAGGCGGCTGGGGCGCCCCTATATCCCCCTGCAACACACCTAAGGAAACTGACGACCAGAGGGCACTCGAAACCCAGCCCCAGGTGATGTGGGTCTACGCTGGGGAGGACCAAAGCAGCCAGGGACCTGGTTGCGGGGATGTAGGGTTTAGGGTTTAGGGTTCAGGGTTTCGGGTTTAGGGATTTAGGGCTTAAGGCTTAGGGTTTAGGGTTTAGGGTTTAGGGTTCAGGGTTTTGGGCTTAGGGTTTAGGGTTTTGGGGTAGGGTGTAGGGGTTTTGAGGGGCTGCAAGGGCTCTTTATGAGGGCTTGAGGGAGTTAGCGGGCGTTTAGGGATGTTGCAAATGCGGTTATTTTAGGGTCGAGGCTTAGGGGTACCCATTTTGGGGCCTATAAGAAAAATTACAGTATGTTGGGGTATTTCTTTTTGGTGGGACCCTGTTGCGTGATTTCGTTCATCGAGTGGTTTAGGGTTTAGGGTTTAGGGTTTAGGGTTTAGGGTTTAGGCTTTAGGGTTTAGGGTTTAGGGTTTAGGGTTTAGGGTTGAGGTTCAGGGTTCAGGGTTTAGGGTTTGGGGGCTTTCCTTTGAGTTTCGATATGCCGTTCGATCTGCGCGAGGTGGTTTGAAACCTTAAACCTAAACCAAGTCTGTACTCGTAGTTCTCGTCGACTGCGCAAACCGGCAACAGAAAAGCCCAGCGTTACCAATCCAAAACCCTAAACCCTAAACCCTACCCCTGTGTGGGTTTAGTGTTAGGGATTTAGGGTTCCGGGTTTAGGGTATCGATGCTATGTTTTTTTGTTTCTGTTTTTTGAGGGGGGTTCTGAACAGCCCCAGAGAAACCAACCAGAGAAGGATTGGATCATCTGCTCATGGCACGTTTGCTTCTTACTTCTGCCCGTGGCAGACAAGCCGAACGCAGCTTTCAGGGGTTCCCAGCCACCAGGGTTTAGGGTTTAGGGTTTTTGACCAGTGAAGCATTAATTAGCAGGAGACTATTCTTAAAGGTTGAGGAGACCTCGTAAGTTGGGGGGTATACGTATGGTAACTATACCAAAAAAGACGTATAACCTCAATGAAGGTACCTGTTTATCCCTACTTACTAAGCGCCCCTTCTTGGACATCCGAAGCGGTGGAGCTCTTGCAGTCGGTCTGCATAAGATCAGAAAGGCCATGGCCTCAGCCGCTGAGTGGGATGGTGCTGCTGGCTCCTACCACTCCTTCGCGCGCTTCACGGAGCAGTTCGCACGCCATGCTGTTGCCACGGCTCTTGGGCCTCTCAGCACCAGGACAGGTACCGAGGAGCAGCCACTGATGCTGCTTGACGTGGCGAGTGGCACGGGTGTTGCGGCCTTCGGCCTCATCGACGCGCTGCCGGCGAACGCGTGGGCAACTGTGCTGGCAACGGACTTTGCGGAGGCCATGCTGGGGCAGCTCAGGGCGAAGGCGTCGCAGCGCGCGGAGGACGACGCGGCGAAGCATCCGCACGTCACCTTGCAGGCAGAGAGAATGGATGCCCAGGACATGCCATCCGTCAGGGACGCCACCATGGATGCCGCCACCATGGTGTTTGGCCTGCACAACCTGCCGAACCCTGTCTCCGGCGCGCGTGAGTTCTACCGCGTGCTGCGCCCCGGCGCGAAGGGTGTGATCGTGACCTGGCACTGGAACAAGCTGCGTGAGTTCATTGCACAGATGCGCCTAGAGGTTGGCGACGTTGAGGCCAAGGCGGCAGACTACATCGGGCCCATGACCAACGAAGGGGAGATGCGCCGCTGCTTGCATGAAGCCGGCATCCCAGATGCCTGCATTGTGGTCGACATGGTGAAGGGCCTTCCGATGCAGATGTCACTGGAGGAGCCTTAGGGGTACTTGCAAATACACTTTCTTTTGGATATTATAATTCCTAAGAAACAAATACATTCTATTTTCTGGATACCATAATTCCTAAGAAACAGCAAAAATAAGTTCAGCAGAGGAGCTGGTGGTCTACCTGCGGACGAACTCGCTGGTACCGGCTCTGCGCGAAGTGGACGCTTCCTTGGTCCGACGCGTGGTGTCCGAGGATCGGGGCTTCTATACCCCCCTTGGGAATTATGTTTCTATGTTTGTTCATATAAAACCCAAGAGATATTTAAAATATTTTTCTTCAGGTTCTAAGGGGAGTATAGGCTTCGGTGCGTGGGGCGACGATTCCGGCTTCATCCTCTGGGGCACAGCGATGGAGGTCAGCGTGACCAAGCCCTGAAGAGCAGCACGCCCAAGTTGATGGGGGGTGGATTTTCGACGCGTGGGTCGTGCAGGAGCCGAAATGCCACTACCTGCTTAGCTACACCCAAAATATGAGAGTCTGATCAACTAGGGGCGATACTCCCCCCGACGGCCTGATAGTAAGGAAGGTGCACTGAGGACAGACAGGTGGCTTGCACTTCACGGATTTTGGCAGAAGCTGTGGCGATGTAGCAGCTAGTTCTGCCACAAAGCTGTAATCCAGGGCCGCCCTACATCCACAAATTGCGACACCAAGTGCACTAACTGACGGCTGAGTCGACAGAGGGAAACAGCCTGGTACGACCAGTCGGTGCCTCGAAAAAGGGAGCTTGGAACTTAGGATACGTGGGATTTGAAGCCCTAAGCCCTAAGCCCTAAACCCCTAAGCCCTCAACCCTTCGAGGGTTGCCGGGCTTTCTGGCTTGCGGATTGTCAACAAGCTGGTCTTCTCCACAACGGCCCTCTAAGTCAGCTCTTGTAGACACTGCTTCGAATCGCAGTTCGAAGCAGGAGATTCCTGAGCCTAAACCCTAAACCCTAAACCCTAAACCCTAAACCCTAAACCCTAAACCCTAAACCCTAAACCCTAAACCCTAAACCCCAAACCCTAAACCCAAAAAGAAGCCACATGACCTCCGGGAGTCCAGTACACTTGCAGAATCGGGCAACTTAGCCGGGTAGGCCCTTTGGAAATTTCACATCCTCCCTTAGTGGGTTTAGGGTTTAGGGTTTAGGGTTTAGGGTTTAGGGTTTAGGGTTTAGGGTTTAGGGTTTAGGGTTTAGGGTTTCACATCCTCCCTTATTGGGTTTAGGGGTTTAGGGTTTAGGGCTGGAGGCCCTTGGGATATGTTCTGATGTTCCCCTTTATTGGGTTTAAGAAGATCACATTCAGGAATAGTTTTTCAGAGGCTCTAAGGGGCCAACCTCGTTAAGGGTTTAGGGTTTAGGGTTTTAGGGTGTGGGGTTTAGGCAAATAAGCCTGCGTATTGGCTGCTTAGCTTTAACCCCTAGACCCTCAACCCTTAATGGCTACTTCCTAAATCTCCCGATTCTCGACAGGTGGACAGCTGAGTTGCACAGTAGCACCTACTTCTTCCCCCTTGCACGTGAGCAAAACCGTGCTACACCTGCAACACCCTAAACCCAAAGCACCGTAAACGCGCGCGACGAAAGGGCTCAACCCTGAGCCCTGACCTCCTAAACCCCTCAAGTTTAGGGTTTAGGGGTTAGGGTTTAGGGTCTAGGGTCTAGGGCTTAGGGTTTAGTGCTGCACCTGCTACACCCTGATCTCGAAGCCCAAAACCCCGGTACTGCGCAACCCAGACAACCTGGACGACCTCACCTACATCGATCTCAGCGCCAGAAGCTTAGGGTTCAGGGTAAAGGGGTTTAGGGTTTAGGGTTTAGAGTTCAGGTCTAGGCATCGTGGTTTAGGGCTGTAGGAGTTTTTGGGTTTTAGGGTGTTGGGGCTTGGGGAACCCGAAACAATCCCAATCAACCTAGCTGGGGGAGGGGGGGGGGGGGGGGGGGGGGGGGGGGGTTGGGGGATGTAGTATTGTTGTTGCTTTTAGTACCATTTTAATGGGACTGTCTTCTACTCATGATGATTAATTCTGCCATTGTTGCCTCTATTCCTGCGGTGCTTGCCCTGAGCACTCGTAGTACTTCTTGTACTCATATTAGTAGTCCGGGCACTCTTGACGGGGTCAGGCCCTAGACCCTACACCCAAAACCCCAAACCCTAAACCCTAAACCCCAAACCCTAAACCCTAAACCCCAAACCCTAACCCCGGATGACGTGTGAAAGAGGACGCAGTGCTTGCACGTTTGCCAGCTAGAAGCCTACACCTGCACGGGGCGCCATGATCCCTTTAACCTAGGGGGTAGGAGGGGAACGCTTGGGGTTGAGGGTGTAGGGTTTTAGAGTTTCGGGTTGAGGGTTTTACTTGGAGGTTCATGGTACTTACTAACCATTTCTAGCTGCACTTATAACCCAGTTATAAGCCCCTTAAGTGCTCTAAGATGGTTATAAGTACCATGATCCCTGAACCGTAAGCCCGCGTGTTTTGGAGATGACATCCCATCTCAGACTACCTTACGGTCCCGCAGTACCTTCATCTTGGGGCTACAGTCACGCCCACACTTGCGGCCCTAAATGCTTGTAACCCCACTTCTGACCCTCAATCCTAAACCCTAAACCCTAAACTCTAAACCCTAAACCCTAAACCCCCCAAAATCCCTCGCAAACCGCAGGAAGCCAGTCCATCCTGGGTCCAGCCTTCGGTATCAGGCTCGAAGCCGAGCGCCCGCCGCCATCCCCGAGCGCCTTCGCGGCGATTCCGGGTTTAGGATTTAGGGTTTAGGGTTTAGGGTTAGGGCTTGGGGGAGTCTCAATGAGGGGGAGTGCTGGTGCTGGAAAACATCCGGGCGCATGCCCTCCGACTTGTGGATTCCCAACTCCACTCTGATCTTGACCTTTGCGGGTTTCCTTGCTTTCTGTTCGGGGAAGCCCCATCCCAGTGACGGATGCTTTCGGGTTCAGGGTTTAGGGTTAAGGATTTAGGGTTTAGGGGGTTTGGGGCTTATATAGGCCCTGCTTGAAGGCTCTGGATCTGGGGTTTGGCGTTTGAAGGAGGCCCCCTAAACCCTAAAGCCGAAACCCTAACGCCTAAATCCTAAACCCTCAACCCTAAACCCCAAACCCCAAACCCCAAACCCTAAACCCTAAACCCTACCTAGCCAAGTCTCGCAAGCGATGCGCATCACGTTTGGTGTTGGGGGAATGCTCCAATAGATCTCAAGGGATCGGAGTCCCTTGAAGGAGGCCCTTTTTTTGGAGGCCTCTGGGGGCGAATCCTCGAGTCCTTGCCTTTGCAAGGGATGATGTACATCACCGAGTTAGGGTTTAGGGTTTAGGGTTTGAAGGTTGTTCCGAATCTGGAATGGCCCCGGGCTCACTCAGGAAAGGGCCTTAGGGTTTGGAGTTCAGGGTTTAGGGTTTAGGGTTCAGGGTAAGCTTGCAAGAGTTCTGGTTTAAGGGGCTTTGGGTTCGAGGTAGCGTGCTAAGTTTACCGCTATTATTCCACCTTCCCTAAGGTTAAAGATGCACGACAACACCCAACTCAATGGCTGTCTCAGATATGACGGCGGTGAGGCTTCACGACAGTTTTGCACCTCAAGCTTCTTCTGGAAACTGAGAGTTGTTTCGACACGTGCGGTGAGGAGATGTACGGGCGCCGGAGGATGTTTTGGAGCAGCTACTTCGTAAAGTTCCCCTGAAACCCTAAACCCTAAACGCCCTAAACCCTAAACCCTAAACCGTGCTCTCTTGTATGGGTCCGTCCTTGGGTTGGTGGAGGGGAACACCTAGCGCAGGCTTCTCCGATGCGGGGGAGGAGTTCTCTAAAGTAGGGCCCCTTTTTGGGGGGTCCCTAAACCCTAAACCCTAAACCCCAAAACCCTAAACCCATATCAAGTTGAAAGGGGCCCTTAGTCAGAGAACTACCCGAGTATTTCCTGGGTTTGCTTCCGGAGCTGGGTACTTAGGGCTTAAGGCTTAGAGCTTAGGTTTTTGTATTATAATCCACCTTTCTTTTAGGTTGAGGGTTTAGGGCACTTAGGGGTTTAGGGTTTAGCATAGCATGAAGCACCTGATTGCCACACGGAGCCTTCCTTCTTTCACGGCAAACTCCTGCCTGATTCCCTTGAACTCTTAACCACCAAGCTCCAGAACCGTTGAGCCCAAAACCGACCAAACCGTTGAAGTACTTACTTCGAACCCATACGAATTCCAAACGTCTAGAGTTCCTTCCCTAAACCCTAAACCCTAAACCCTAAACCCTAAACCCTAAACCCTAAACCCTCCAAGCCTCCAAGCCCTAAAGAATCCCAGGCAGTCCTCGAGGCAGATACAAACCGGATGTGGACACTGGGGCCTTCATAGACAGAGGTCAGCTCTCTAACCCTAAACCCAAAGCCCTAAACCCCTAAACCCTAAGCCCGAAACCCTAAACCCTAAACCCTAAACCCCAAACCCCAAACCCTAAACCCTAAACCTTGCGTCCATCGTTTAGGGTTTAGTGCTTAGGCGGAGGATGGATCTAGTAAGCAGGTACAAGAAGTGGAGATCTTCGGGTTTGGGGTTCAGGGTTTAGGGATTTAGAAGGAAGGGGGCCAGGGATGTGTGGGGGGGGGGGGGGGTCAGCAGGGGGGGCCCTTGTTCAGGGTTCAAGTCCCTGATAATGAGCTGCTTTGAAGCAAAGAAGCGCACCCTTTCTTGTATAATCCTAGGCTACTCACCCCAAAACAGTAGGGCTGTCAATCCTAATCCCTAAGCCCTAATTTCCCAGCTTACTCCTAGATCTAGCTGAACCTCGACACCCCCCCACCCTTGAGCCACCACACCCCAGCCGCCTGAAGCCCCTCAACCCCAAACCCACACTCGCAACCACCAAAAACCCTAAACCCTAAACCCTAAACCAGTCACCAAGCCCCAAACTCAGGGTGCCAGGCGCTGAAAGGTTGAGACTCCACAAACCGAAAACTTCCAGTGTTGGGGTTTGGGGTTTAGGGTTCAGGGTTTAGGGTTTAGGGTTTAGGGTTTAGGGCATAGAGTTTCGTGGGTGTCGTGGGTTTGGGGTTTAGGGTTTCGTGGGTTTAGTGGGCTTGGGGCTTCGGGGGGTTCGAGGTGCTGGGGACTAAGGTTTAAGTGCTTACCCCTAAACCCTAAACCCTAAACCCTAAACCCTAAACCCTAAACCCTAAACCCTTTCACTTTACTGTTTTGAGGTGTAGGGTTCGGTTTAGGGTGCAGCCCATGGCCCTCGTTCAAGCCCTAAAGCCCTAAGGCCCCTTTCAGCCCTTTAAACAAAGACGCCTTGCAGCCCGCCCAAACCCTAAACCCTAAACCCAAAACCCCAACAAGCCTCTGAATAGGGTTTAGGGTTTAGGGTTTAGGGTTAGGGTTTAGGGTTTAGG